TAGGCAAAGCAAACTGACTCAGCAACATAGCCTGCAGAGAGTGAATGCATTTGTTTGAAAACAGTATTTCTATTCTGATGTGACTATGTAGCCAATGAAAGGTACTGCATTGACAGTTCTGAAGATTAGAATCTCCTGTTTTGCTACAGCAGTGGCTAGAGCAGCGCCAGCTCCCCATGTCTCCTTGTGAATTTGCCTCAATAATCTTCTGAATACTCTAAAGCACAGAAGTGAAAGCTGCTCTGAAACTAGCAATTTCTGCAATGGGCCTACCCAAAGCCACTGCAATGGCAAGACGCACAGCCTGGGAGCTGGACTCAGACTCCAAGCAGCTGGAGAAAGACAGCAGCTACCAGGAACACTGAGGTGGGCTGCACTATTTGGGAGGATAGGAAAACTTTCAGAATTGCCACTTTCCAAGCCAGCCATCCCCACAATCTCGGACGCTAATCAACGACATCTAAGCCTCCAGGATTTTCCAGAAAAACAAAGAATGCTGCATGTGCACACTCTATTTAAGTCTGGCGCCACGGAGGCTGGTGCAAAATGGAACTCCAGGAGCTCAAAACCTCTGCCTTCTACACACCACCTTCTCTTCCTCTCCCCTGCATCCAGTCTGCCAAACACGTTTGTTTGCATGGCCAACCTCAAGTGTGCTAGAGGAGAACTAGTAAGGGGTAGGCAAGTAAAAGGGACCAAAAAGGGTATTGTGTGAAATTTTCCAGACATGCTGTAAGCACAGAAAACTGTATCATTTATTGGAATGAACTTGTTTATCTAGCAATGGTGTTTATAAAATTACTTTTTTAAAATTGTACTTCACAAGTGACTTCCAAGTAAAAAATAAAGAAAACCAGGAAAACACAATCCAAATCATTTGACCACAAAAGAGCAGAAGACACACTAGGTAGTGTAATGTGGCCACACTGCTGTCACTCCTGTCACTTGTCCTTTAACATAAAAGTCTTCCTACCATGCCCCCTACCAGGTACTATCCATAATCTCAGATTTCCTCTCTGGCCTCAACCTCTATCTCATCCTGTACCCCCAGATTCTTCCCATGCCTGACCATCAGGCCTCCACAGTGGTGACTGCAAAAATATGTTCCTCTTATTTCTTCTGAAAAGAACTTACCACATCTACCAGAACCTTGGTTGAGAATTTACAGTCTAATGGAGCCTAGCTATACTAACACACCTAGTAGAGTTGCAAGATAATTCTTCAAGCTTGAATTGCCACCTTGCATAAAACCTACCTGGCTAATGAAGTTATTTACTTTTTACTGTGGTTGTTTATAAAAGCTTTCAAATTTATGGGAAGAGTTGCAAGGCTACTGCAAAGATCTCCTATGTACCCTCCACCCAGATAGATTCACAAATCCTGCCAACTTTTGTCTGTCTTTGTCTATACAGACGCATTTTTTTTCTGCACTATTTGAGAGTTACTCCCAAACATGATGCATTTTCAACCCTCAGTTCCTCAGCATGTATTTGCTAGAAACAAGTTCACTGTCTTACATACTGCAGTAAGTGATGAACCTCAGAAAGTCTAAAGGATACAGTAGTAGGCCTACAGCCCATACTCGAATCCCATCAGCAGTGCCAACAATGGTTTCTGTAAAGACTACTCATCCTGACTCAAGGCTGTGCGCTGCATTTGTGGTTCTACCTCTTTCATCTCCTTTCATCTGAGCAGCTTCTCAGCCTGAATTTCATGGCCCTGGCATTTTTATGCATACAGGTCTTCATTCTCCACTCAGCAGCAAAAGTGGCCTGACCACATCAGTTCCTTCTGGAGTCCCTGAAAAGGTTGTCCATCAAACTCAGAACAAACATCTGCCTTCCCTGGCTCTGTGACCACACCCCCAACGGTCCATCACTGTCCATCACAGCAGTACCTATTTATTTATGTTATTTGACTGCTTCTCCTGGGGGACAACAGCAGAACTTTGTCTATTGATTGATCGATTGCCCTCCCTACGGGTAAAGAATTCATTGTTAAATCCCAGAGACTAGAACAGTGCCTGTAATGCAATGGTTCTCAGTAGATTCCAAATGAATAAATTAATCAACAGTTCTCTGAGAGCTAAAAGGATGACTTTGGTATCAATAGTGATTGTATTTTACTAGAAAAAATGAAAATTATGTTTTACAATGTGTGAGGGCTGGATATGTAGCTCAGCGGTAGAGCACATGCTTAGCATGCTTGCAGCTGTGGGGTTCAATCCCAGAACACACACAAAATGTATCCTAGAGGACAGATGGTGACAGGTCAGCCTAACAAACAAGATGTTAGCAAATGTTCACAGAAAAAAACATTATCTTTTAGGATTAAACCCCATTAGTAGACTGTAAGCACTGAGACCAAAAGTCAGAATCAACTTCTAGCTTTTGAGGAATGGTTTAGTTTAAACTAGAGACTGCAGAGGCATCCTAGCAGGAAGAGCCTTTACTATGGTGTGTTCTCTGGGACTGCTAAGGAGTCTCTCATTGGTGAAATGCCAGCAGCAGAGTCAATTTTGTTTTTATTTTTGTTCTTTGAGACACAGACTCACAATGTAGTTCAGGGTGGCCTAAAACTTAGGATCCTTCTGCCTCTGGTTCCTAAGCACTAGGATTATGCACATGCACCACTAATGCCTGACTTCACATATTTTAATTTTTAGAAAATTGTAAACACACATAAAAGATGCAAGAATAGTTAATAACACCATACCCTTTCCTTTTTTTCTCCATTGTCTTTCTGGTCCTGAATACAGGCTACATATAATCTCAAGAGATTTCTGTTCTGGACAATTTCTGTTCTGTCCTCTATTTCCACAATGCCTTCTTGCTTTGTGACTTTAAATATGCATTCGGTTGCTTTTTCTTGGCTGGTCTCCAGTTGTTCATATAGTGTGTCTTCTTTGCCTTCCTTCCATTTTCCCACCATCTCTGACCGTTGCTGTCTGTTTATATCACGATCATTCTCCTCATCATCATCATCCTCCTGCCTTTCTTCAGCCTCCCCTATTGTATTTTCACTCAAATCTAGTCACCCTGTGACATCTTACAATTGTCTGTATTTATGAAACTATACAAATGAAATCTACCATTTTATTCTATTTCCTTCCTGAGTTCAATCAACTTTCATTTCATTTCTTCTTGCAGTCTGGTCCATTTCTGAGCTTAGTTTTACATAGCACCACGTTTGCTTGAAGGAACTTAATTCCCTTTAGGGGGTCATGCTACAGTGCTCTTCTGCTTCATGGTTGCTTTTCAACAGGGAATTTCCATCAACTGCAATATTTTGTTTTTCCCTCTGTTTGTCTCACAGTAGCTTAACCCAAAGGAGCACTGACGAAGCCTGTGCATTTCCTGAGCAGGGCTGACAATATGGTGGTTCACAAAAATCTCTGGTTCAAGAGCTCCCTCTCCTGACAGAGTCATGAAGTGCAGTTTCTTTACAGAGTGGCTTTCAGTTGAGGGGGTAGCAGTATGCTAGAAGCCCCCCGTGTGGGTTCCTTGCTCTTCAAGCACAACACCTGGAAGGCCCTTTTTCAGTATTTCCATACTTCTCTCTCTGAGTGATTTCCACACAATCCCCTCTTGTCTGTCTGTCTCTCTCTCTCTCTCTGTGTCTCTGTCTTTCTCGAGAACCAATACCTGGCCTGCACTGCAAGCTTATGAAGTATGGCCACTGAGAACTAACGTCTACTTTTCTGCTTAAAGTAACTGAAGCTGGTACTGCTTTCTGGCCTCTAGTTATGCTGAAGGTAAGGGACTTATGTAGTTTAATTTGGTTCTTATTGATTTGCAGTGTTTTGGACAAAGTAAAAGGGACTGAGATTGAGGCAGTAGTAATTAATTACTTCAGCTTATCTGTAAGTACCTCATTTATAATTCTTAATCAGCTACTTCTTCCTCACGTCTGGAATTAGAATTCTGTTTTTTCCCTTTTTATTCTGTAGTGGGTACTGTGATGGATATTAGTGTGCTCTACCTATAACTCCTCTTCAGGGCAATGTCATCTCTTCCCATAGCTGCTGGGCATTACGGATGATGTGCCCCACACCACACATGACTCCTGGCCATAGGGATCTGCCTTACCCAAGTTACATGCCCTCCTCCACAATGATGCCAGCAGCCAATGGCTGGCTGATACACAGACTCAAAGGTTGGTCCGTTTGCCTTAATGTGTGACAATTCCAAAGGCCACTTCAGCTCAGAGCTCCCTATAGAGTCACTGCATATGAACTTCTCTACCTAACCCTACCTACCTCACAGGTGTATATCCTGAGCACACATTTCAATATACCTCCTGCAAACAATTCTCTGTCTCAAGGTGCTTTCAGGTATCCAACCTAAGATGATCACCATTGAGTTATGAGATAAGTAATGCTGTAAGTTCACAAACATATTGTACACATTCACTTACTTCTCTCAAGGAAATGAGGGAGATGCCATTATTATTACCATCTTACCTCACACAAGAAAAGAAAATCACAGAGGAAATGTTAGTAAGCTGCCAAACTGTAAAGGCGGGATTTGAACCCCTGCAATGACAGGATGAGGAAGTCTGTTCTCACCTCCACTGCTCTCCTCCACTTCTAACCCTCCTCTCCTTCACCTCTCCTCTAGCACAGTCCCTGGCTGGCAGGCTCTTGCCCTTTTCTGTGCCATGTTCTGAAATAGCCAGCCTACAATACATACCAAGTTGATCTCAAATGGAAGCGGTCTGATTGGTCTACCACCTAATATTTTCTCTAGGAGATGGACCATGACATTAGTTGGTAATGATGGAATTTGATCTTGTGAATTTGTCTTTTAAAACTTTAGCATCAGAAACAGAGAAGCATGTTTATAAGTCCACACTGTCTTTACTCAGCCCTACCATAGGATTAATGTCATTTGTACCACACACAGGTATGAGTAGTTAAGGTCAACAACCACTTCTCTATGGATGTGTTTTTTATCTTACTTTGTAATAACAAAAATATAATATTTCTCAAAAGTTCTTACCTCCTTCCTGAAATTTGCTTAATCTCTCAAAATATGATGACATGGGGACCTGGACAATATCTAGGATGGCCAGAAGAGTTCTTGTCAGCCTTAATAACTCACTGAAACTGTAAAATCCAAAGTAAATAAGATTCCGAGCCAGGTGAACCACCTTAATTTAAAAAAGAGGAGAATAGGTAGAAAGGAAGGACATTACAGAATGACACAACACTGGCATTTAGGTAATCTAAATTAGTTCAGGTATTTCTAAATTTCCTAATACTTTTACCCCAGGAAAAGCAGCCACTTAAACAGTGATTCACTCAGATCTAGAATTAATTTATAAGATGCTGGGTGCTTTAAGATGGTTGCAAGAGTTTACATTTGAATTATTTACCTCCTAATCAATTTTTACTCATTAAAGTCAGAAGAATACCACCTAATAAATAGTTAAATTAATTAATAAGTATTACCCATAAAATTTGCAGAAACACACATTTATTTCCCTATGCTGCAGTGTGGTCTGCTGGATAACACAGGACACTGTGTTATGAGAACTGGCCTTCACCATGTGGCTCCAGTGTACAGTGTCCATGATTAACTGCCAAAACATGCTGAATAGTTAAAGGGAAAAATCTTTGCTGCTCAATGTATCTATTTTTTGACAGGGGCATTTAATTATTGCATGAACAATTGTTTTAAAATACCTCAAATGTGAGTTTATTTTTTTCTTTGTCCCCAAAAGGAAAGGGCTGATTGACAACTTCTTTCAAGTACTCCTCAACGAATTCCATCGTCAGTGCAAACTTCCTCTTCATATCATTTCGGGAAGAGTCTGTGATAGAATCGTATCTGTGAAGACAGAAGACAGAGCAAGTTAAATGGTATGTAATCTCTTCAAAACAGAAAGCCACATACTCAGCTTCCTTGGCTGCACACCCTGGATGCACAGCTCATCTGTAAAACGGGGCTATTGTGAAATGAGACGACACAGGCAAACACTTAGCTTAGAGTTCATATTAAGCATATGACAAATTGATATTTATTTCAGCTTATTGGCTTCTAGAAAGATGCTTCCTGATATCACTAAAAGTTGTCATTTTGCCCTGCAAAAGGAGGAAGATGAACAGTCTAGTGAGAACACACAAATGCCTTTCTATGAATTTTGCTTCAAAATTGAAGACATTTGACTTTGAGTTCTGCTAAATTTAAAGTCCTCAAAAAATATTTCTAAACATACTCATGAATGGTGATCTTTGTGGGGATTTCCGTCCAGAGCCGAGCATAGCGAACAGGAACCACCGACTCCTGGGGATCACGGTCAACATGCATGTGGAGCATAAGGCGACAAAAGGACGCCCTGAGGTCAAAGGGCAGGCTCTCGTCAGACACACACCGCAGGATCAGATCCACAGACAGCTGGGTAGAAATCTGGTTGATGGCCAGATACTGCCGATCCAAGCACATTCTTGCAAAGAGGTTTAGCTGGTACCTTACAAACATTAAATAATTTACATTATTTGTCTCACCTGGATGAAGTCTGCAACCACCTCAGAACCAGTCAACATCTACCTTTAGGATGCCTGTATTTCCAAAGATTTGTGAAACTCAGTTAAACGCTTTTGGTAGTTGGCTGAGTGATCAAATGACAACACAGACATGAAATTGCCTCTGTGTCCCTTCACTTCAATGTCTCTTACACGCTTAGCAATGTATGTCTGTTGTAAAGTGTTCTGAGGCTCTCAGTGCTCTGATCGTGGGAGACTATGAACCACAGCTCACACAAAACCCTCTCTCTACCTTCCCCAGTCTTGCTCAGATGGGCTCTGAAATCTACACAGTAAGTTTGGCCCCACTCAGTTCCCAAACCAAATGGCACTGGTATTCTTGGATTCTCAGCCTCTGAGATGACGACTAGTTTTCAGTTTTGTTGCTATAGCTATAGAAACCAGGGAATACTAAGCCTTCCTCCAATTCCTGCCATTTGGTGTCAACTTGGCCCTAGGATTCTGCCTTGGTTTTATCCCATAGACTCAAAGATGCCAGCTAGGCTCTTGCTCCCAATATATTGAGCACTGGGAACTGCCTTCAGTATTTCTGCTGCCACATGCAAGGGAAGGTTCTTAATTACACACTCTTTTTTTTTTTTTACTGGGGTTCTCTTACACCCCAGGTAAACAATACACTAAACTATCATGAACATCCCCTGCAGCCACCCTGAAGCTAGCTCAGCTTCCTCCCCTACCCTGCTCCACCTCTGTCTCAATACATAACCTAGTTCCTAACTGTCTCTCATCTGCCCTCCACAAACTGACCATAGGAAGAAACTCTTTGCTGTAAAAACATCCCAAACTAGTGAAAAATCAGAAAACATATGTGCCAAGCACAGATATTAACTTTTATTCTGAGTATTTTAAGTACTCCTTAACACTTCAGCTAGCCTTATTCTGCCATGATTTTTTAATTTTCCTCTTTAGCGATATCTAACTTTTAGAGGTTTCAGAAGATCAGTTCTCCATGAATACACAAGATGGAGAATCACAACTCTGTACCACACTTAACCTGTAATAGGTAAGAACTTCTAAGTCAGCTTTGGTGCCTTCCTTTGCTTCCTGAGCTAGGTGCCTGATGGCTTTGCCGTGAGGTTCCTTGTTGCTGTCAATCCAGTAGAGCCAAACTTCCTCATCGTCAATGTCATCAGAAAGGATGACACTCTCCATGGGGTTGTCCACTTGCATTGAGACCAGCCTTGAAATCAGTAAGAGATGCAAACATGTATTAAGAAGCACACTGATGACTATGGTTTTCATGAGTACAGTGCTCACAAAAGAACAAACAGAGGAAAGACGCCTGAGTTGGCAGGCTTACTTGGTTTGAATGAGAATGTCAGCATTGCCAGGACTCAACATAAATTTACAGATGAGTTCTTGTGTGACTGGGATAGCAGTGGTGTTAGACACGCACAGATCTGACAAATAATCCAAAAACCTGCAGAGAGAAAAACATAGTTAAGTGAACAGTCAGACACAGAAAAATCATCACAACAAAAATATAATTAGAAAGAAACTAATTTTGATGCATTTTTACTATTGCTTCCATGTAGTCTTTTTCTAATGTGTTGCTCATCTACTGCAAGTTAGAAACAAAATTGAATATTTGATTCTGGTTATTTAATACTGTTGCAAAAAGGATATGCTCATCTCTATTTATTTGATGGCATTCATCCCTCAGCACTGTGACTTACGTTAAGAAAGTCACCTATCTGCTCTAAAGTAAGAGGCCCCAGAACCAAGTATCAGAGCAGAAACAGATCAAAGCTAATGTACTGAGTGTCACAGAGCCAGAGCACATGCTTAAAGTGTTGGTGGCCTGGTCTAGAGACACCATTTCTACCTTCGAGCATGTAATTGGGCACTATGCAGCTGAGAAAACATCACCACTGTCTTTGACGTCTCAGTGTTCATTTCTCTGATAGAAGGCAACATGGTGCACACAAAAGAACAGAAACCCTGAATGACTGATTCACATTCTACTCCTGACTCCTGTGCTATTCTTAGCAGGATGCTCTTCAGGCTTCTGTGTTCTCATTTCTAAAATGTGGCCATGTAGCTCAGGGGTAGAGTAAGGGCTTGGAATGTGTGAGGCTCTGGGTTCAATTCCCAGAACCAAAAAAAAAAAAAAAATACAAAATGAGGGCTGGGCATAGGGGTGCATGCTATAATCCTAGCACTCAGAAGGCTGAGTTAGGAGGATCTCAAGTTTGAGACCAGCCCAGGCTACACAGTGAGACCCTGTCACTGGAAAAAAAAAAAGAATAAAGATAAATAAAAAATAAAATGTGCATACAACTATGCATTTCATGAAAATGTGCATCTTGAGATGAGGTATATGAACATATTTTTGAAGTCACATATAACTTATCAGAGTGAAAATCAAACACATTTAAACACCATCTAGGGCTGGGGCACAGCCCAGCAGTAGCACAGGCATGAGACCCAGGGTTCAATGACCAAGACCATAAAAACAAACAAATAAATATCAATCTATAAATATAAGCTCTGATCTCCTACATGTTAAAAAAATCTTTTGTTATTACAGCAATAAAGACAACAGAGTTGCCATGAAAGTCAGTGCTACAAAAGAATCCTAACTTTGAAAAGCCCTGCAAATAAAACAAAATGCCACCACCACCAAGAACAGAACACTGCATGAATCACTTCCAACCTTGGCTCCCGATTTCTCCTGAGCAGGCTGACAAACGTCTCTATTTCCTTTGCTGTGATGTGTTTCTCTAGGAGTTTTCTGTTATTGTGCAACAAAGCTGTGATGGTGTCTTCTGCCAAGATATCATACCCAATCTGGGACTGCATAATACAGAAATTCTTAGCGATGTACTCCTGCAAAGAAGAAAGACCGTCACAGACACCACCAGACAGACTGCAGATAGCAGGTCCTTGAGGGCCAACAGCTTGGATTAATTTATTCATAACAGAAAACTCACTAAAAGTTTTGTCAAAAGAAAAGCAAGTAAATAATTCTTCAATAAATACAGCTTTTTGAGGAAGGAAATGATAATCTATCAGAATATATCATTTTAATTATAGCAATAAGTTATGTTCTAGAAATGAGTTTTAATATGGATACTTACACTCTTGTATCTGGGAAAACCAAAAGTAAATCTAATAAAAACAACAGGTGCTTATTTCACAGTAACTAATCAAGGTCCTTTTTCTTACTCTCACCAAAAGTCATGACCATTAGTTTAGGCAAAATTATAGAAAAGAAAAATGGCTGTCTTGACATTTCAGTAATGAGATATGAGATCTAGACAAGTTCCCAGGAGGACTTGCATTGACTTTTTCTAGTACACATGCTACCATGATCCAAAAATGATGGTTAAATTTTAATATACTTCTTATCACTAAAAAGTAATCTACTAAGATAATGCAATTATTCATGATATTAATCAGATCCATTAATCCAATAACTATTTCCTGAAGGCCTCAAACATTTCAGGTGCTATTTGGGAGAGTGGGACTATGGCTATAACTAGATAGATAAGCTGATCATTTGCTATGTTTATGAGTGAAATGAAGTAAACAGAATGATGGGAGATGCTGAGGAAGGGGCATGTGAGCAAGACAGAGATGAAAAGGAAAAGAAGCAGAAGTTGTGGAAAAACCTGGAGAGAAGCCATCTAGGCAGTGGAAGTAGCAGGTGCAAAGGTCTTGAGGTAGTGGAACCAAGCCTATGTGGCCACTGTAGGTTGAGGATACCAATGAGGGGAAAGAGTCCAAGTTAGACAGGTGGGTCAAAAGAGTCCTGTGAGTCATGGTAGAGGGAAAAAATATTACAAGAGAAAGTCACTGGGAGTTGTAATCACACATTATTTAATCTGTTCCTTATTCTTCATATTAACTATCCTATATTCCAAATTACAATGGCTCATTTTTTACATTCTGTATACAAGCAACACATTTCACGCATGGAACTGGTAGACATAACCCTTCCACAATCAAATACCTTCTAGTTCTTGGGGATTCTCTTTGAGAATGCATCTCTGTTTCTATGATGGGAGAATTTATTGATTAGAAAGTGGTTTTGCCTTAGGAAAAATTTACTGGAATGTAACTATTCCTTGAAAATGGTATTGGCTGCACAAATCTAATTATATTCAAGGCAGCATTTTGTGGCCTTTCAAAGTAAGTGATGGCTTTATTATTGGGTAGCCAATTAAATAAAGTAGATGTCATCTCATACTGTGTCATTTTAAAGACATGCATTGATTTGCACACTTTTATGACTGTTGTAGTCATTCTATGGTATAAGGCAAACTTCCAAGATGTTGATAAATAATTAAATGAAATAGGAGGTGTTATCAAATCCTATAAATAATAATAAAACAGAGACTCAATATTACAGATGTGAGTTAGCACTAAATCATGAACTATAAAATACAGATAAAGGAAAACAAGGTAATTAATGCAAAAAAACTAGAAGGTTTTTCTGTTTACATTTTAAAATCTTGTTCAAAACAACTAGAGAAAGCTGCTTTATGCTTAATGCAAAGCATTCATAATTCAACAGAAGTAAGAAGAGAGTTGTCAGTTATTGCTAAGATTCAGCAAAAGCATGTGTGAGAGAGAGATGAGGGGAAATGAATCCAACACTCCAGGAACACCTGGGCATCTCAATTCTTCTGTCAGCTCAGGGACTTCGTCCTGGGAGGAAAGAGTGAATCACCCACAGCTGAATACTGCAAAATCCCAGAAAGCAGGTTCCCAAACCGCCAAATATTTACCTGGGGGGGGGATGTGCGTGTGTGTGTGTGTGTGTGTGTGTATGTGCACGTGTGTGTGTGTGTACACATGAATTTACTTGTCAGAGGGACGGTGTTTGCAGAGCACGCATCTCAGCATGCTAAGCCTGAGCCCCCAGGTAAGACCAAGGAAGGAGTGAACAAGAACTGAGAGTGCCAGACCTGGAGACACTGAGAGGGGACGCCAGACAAGACATGCTCTGTGGGGAATGCACTGGGGACCAGCAAATGGCCAAGCCCAAGGAGAACAGGTAATGAAGCCCAGGGCGAGGTGTGGAAAGGGAAGGGAAGGGACCCTCGACACCTTCCATCTGAACACAACTGAGGGTGGTGCCCGCCAACTGTCCAGCATTGAAAACCCTAGGTTACCTCTGGAGAACTGGAATGTTTTCCTGTTAATTCATTCTCCACAATCCAGTGTCACTTATATGTGTAGGTGGCCTGTCTATGGAAATATAGTAATTCCCTCATGTCCTCACAGGACACATATCAATACCCCAGTGGCTGCCTGGAACCGTGGACAGAAAAGAACCCACATTAACTTTTCTCCTCTTCACTCCCATGATAAAGCTTAATTCTCACATTAGACATCATAAGAGACTAATAACAGTAAACAATAAAAATCAAACATTTATAGCAATATGTTAAAATTGTATAAAATATATATATCTGTATATTATTCCAGACCAAGAGAAAGGAGGACAAGTGAAGCCCACTGGGCAGCCTCACTCTAGACCTCCACAGAACGAATAAAACCCAAGACCCTCGTGCTGGGAGCACTGCCAGTGCTGACATTCTGAACACCTGAAAGCCGTTCATGCCATGCTATAACTTAAGTCTTCTTGCAGGGGAATGCTAGCAACTCTAGTCCACTCACCATCATACAGGAAGGCAATGCTGTTAGAAGGTGAGTTCTAGTGGCAGTATCTTACAGATGCTGAGCACTTAAGGATTGGGGTACGGTGTCCCCTTGTCATCTTACCACATTAACTTCTGGTTAATCTGTTTAACATATTCTTTTTAGAACTTTCTTAATCTCTAAGCAGAACCCCAAAGCCAGCATTTTAACACAACATAATCTCCCTAATGCAATTTTTTTCCCTTGTCAAAACACTTTCAAGCTACCGAGAGACAACAGTGTGACGATTAAGAACATGGGTTTGTGTTCACACACTGAATCCATTCTTAAAACCATAACCTTGGGGTGAGGGTGTAGCAGAGAGGTAGAGCATTTGCCTACTTTGTGCGAGGCTTGGGGTTTGATCCCCAGCACTGTAAAAAATAAACAACAAACCAACAAAAAACCTGTAACTCTCGATAAGTTATTTAACCTCTCCATGCCTTAGTTCTCATCTTAGCTCAGTACGTACCAAGATGAGTTAATTCACAAAAGTTGCATTGGGATGAGCCTGGAATGAAGTAAGCACTCAGTGGATAGCAATGACCACTAGCAATAACCTTCACTCTCTAGGCCTGACCCTCAGCCCCCAGGCTTATGCCTTCAGCCCTGTCTCACACCTTTCTTCCTCAAGGACTAAACCCAACAACAAAGCACACTGGCCATGCATTTGACTCTGCATGGGATGAGGGAAACATGGGAGCTCAATGTCCAAACGATACTAAATTTTAAACAATTTTATGTTAAACATTTATGTTATTGAATACAATGCATAATTACATACCTGAAGACTAAAGCAGACACAGCTGTTCACAACCTCCAGGTCTATCTCTAGACCCACCAGTGTCAGCCTCAGTCCTCCACAGCTGAGACCGTCTTGGGGCCACAGTGCCCATCCTAGCTGTCATCATTCTCTCTTCCTAGGACCCTCTTCCAAAATGCTTGCTTTTGTACAATTTGTGAAAATGACACATCCTACTTGGTTGCTTCCATCCTCAAGTGTCTGCCCAGGGTCCTGAGTCTCCCTCTTGTGAATTCCCACCCTGCTATCCTTTGTCATTCCCTCCTTCCTCTCCTTCTCCCTCCTGCATGTTTCAGATGCACATGACACACCACTTCTACTGCACACTTCACTGCTTGGCCCACATGTGGTAAGGCTATACCTAACAAACCTCAGGCAAAAAATGCTTCATCCCTCTTCATCTCTTTTTACATAACCAATCCCATAGGCCTTCTGCTCAGTGGGCACTAATACCATACAGGTCAGGACTCAGGACATGTAAGTTATCAATCTAGTTTCACGTGGAACAATAAACACCTATGTGCTTCCACCTTTCCTTGCAAGGTGGAAATCCCTATTCCTATCTTCTTCGCTTTGCACTAGCCACTGAAGGACTCACACTTGACCGTGGAGTGTGTTATGGAAGGGACACCCACTGACCTGGTTTTTGCGGTAGTCCTGCTGAGAGTGCCGCAGGACACGGTAGCACAGCCGCAGCATGTACTTATAGGGTGCATAGCGCTGGTCCCCCAGGTCTTCGAGCCTCAGCATTGAGCCTTCTCCAGCTTTCTCCTTGAAGGGTGCTTTCAGAATGCCAAATACCTATCAGGAACAAAAAGAACCACCTATACTGATGAACAAAGGTGCAACTTTTGCAACCTATTTTAATTTTTTTTACAAATAAGAACACTGGACTCAAAACATTTTTGCAATATTTTGAGGAGAATTAATGCAAAGGAGGGAAGAGTGTTCAGGACACAGGACATTATACCAAGGAACCAAAGAACGCTGCTCAAAGAACTCCCTAAATTGAATGACAAAAACATTATTTAAATGAAATACTTAATTTTATTTGTAAACTATAACTTATTAAAATGAGAAATATAAAGATGTTGGTACCAAACTACACATACATATTCAGATGAACTAAAATATAATTTCCATATACTTCATAGTTTCTACTATCATTTTTCAAAATCAAAATAATATAAAGGAGACACTCACTTTTTATCTAAAACTTACGTGGCAAAATTGCTTTCAAATGTTGATCTTAACTCTTTCTACGGTCTGTTCAGCAAGAGGAAATAACAATTCTAAGCATACATACACCTAATACCAGAGTATCCAAATTAAATTAACTCTTTCTAAAAAGTGGCTCCTACCTATAATCCCAGCTGCTCAGCAGGCAGAGACTTAGAGGATTGTGATTTGATAGGGAAGACATGATTCAAGTCTCAGCAAGACCCCATCTAAAAAACAAGCAGGAACTGATGCTACACCTCAGACATGTCAGCTATGTGGAAAGTATTAATAGGAGGATCATCATCCAGGCTGGCCAGAGCAAAAAGGAAGAATTCTATCTCAAAAATAATCAAAAGCAAAAAAAGGGCCAAAATGATAAAGCACCTGCCTAGCAAGCACAAGGCCCTGAGTTCAAATCCCAGTGAATCCACTGTTTGTGGTATACAAAGATGTGGTGAAAGCAGTGAAGACACACCATATAACAAAAGGCCATGTGGGCAGCTGGTGGTGCCTGGTGGGTTAGATTCCTGTAGGAAAGTCAGAGGTCAGGAAGCACTTGGAAGGCATTGAGGAATGTAACTTACTCGTCTCACAAGCATAACTGCAGACAGGGTTACCTGTAGAAAAGCCACTAGGATGAGGAAAGTGTCTATGACAGACCACAGCCTGGGATGAGCAGTGACACAGGAAAGCAAAGCAGAAAGAAATTATCCTTCAGGGTTCATGAAACACAGTATTACGTTTCTCCAATAATTCTGCATTCACTAAACCTGGATTTTTATTTTTATAATTACGAAATCAAAGATTTAACATATGTTGGTCAAAATATTAATAAATCATTCAGGGTTCTTATAGTCCTTGAAATCAAATGCTTCATATACAAGAATCACTGATGTCAGAAAAGATTTTATACTATTAGAATTATAACCTTCTGTTTTATTTGATAAAAAACTGACTTTATATTTTCAGACTGGTTAAAGATATTAATTTCAATGTCTACATTTTCCTTTCCCAAGTCAGCAAGGACATGTATGTCAATGACACCCTTTTTATGTTTTAAGTATCTTCCTTGATTCCATACTTAAGTAGTGCAAAATCCCATGACTTTAAATAGCAAATCACATGATAAAAAGAACCCATGAAGGCAGGGACATACATATATGCATCCTATGAGGAAATGGATCGATTTACTGGCACGTATGGCTTGTGTCAGGAAGACACAGTAGGGATCTGCTCTAAACTTCCAGGAAAAAGAGAGTGAACACTGCACAGTGCACCCAGGAGCTGAACAAAGCTTCCCTACTTCTCTAGAGGGGAGACAGAAAGGAGGAGGAAGTAAATGAAATGGTGTTTTCAAGCTCACCTGGAAATTCTACCAAGAAATATTTCCAGCAGAGTTTCTAGAGCTAATCTGCCCAGGTATTTCTGGAAGGCTGTGATGGGCTGCCTCTAAGACAGCCCCAGTGGTCTCTGCCCCCTAACATCCACATTCATATTCTCTCCCCTTTACTGTGGGCTGGATTCATTAACTTGCTTCTAAGCACTCCCAGTGGAGCTGAGAAGACATGACATCTAAGACAAGGTTGTGAAAAGGCTACGGCCCCCATCTGGGTGTCTGCTCTTCTCTCCTGGGCCACTCACTTCTAAGGGAAACAAACCACCTTGTGTGCAGGCAGCATTGTGAGAGGCCATGTTGGTGAGCCAGGACACAACTCTTCTCCCAGTTCACCCTGGAGATGACTGGAGCCCCACCTAGCACACCTGACTGTAGCTCCACGAAAGACCCTGAGCAAGATCCAACCACCTAAGCCACTCCTAGACTTTTATTCTGCTTAGTAAAAATAAAATATGCATACTTAGTCCATGAAAAAATTCACCTGTGCCAATATGTTCTGTTCCCTCATTAGTTTCTGGCGCTCCCTGTTGGGCCTGGTGACAACCACATCCAGAACCTCTTGACCATTATTAGGCACATCAGCAACAAAGAAGATGAGGTCTTCCAACAATTTTGTTACAAACCTATCATAAAATGAAAAGAAAACTTTATTCCATGGCTTAATTTTGGATTTTTAAGTTAGACCTAAGAACTGAAACACTAGAATACCTAAAGCATTTTATAACAAAAATACTTTTACCCAACAAGAATAACATGTACTACAGTTCACCTTACCCTTTACAACAATAATCCTTCTCCAGTTCCTCCAACCACACTCCACCTTCATGTCTAATGAAGTATTTGCAAAGACTACTGTGAAATACAGCCCATGACCGCAACAACAGATGAGCTTGGTAAAGTAACCACACCAGAGGCTTTACCAAGACCAACCAGCAAGGAGAACAGTTCTGCTTCAAGGAAAGTGGCTATTCTTCTAAATTCTTAAATTCAAACTCTGTTCTTCACCACCTACTCAAGCTACTATTCCTGATCTTCAGTGCATTTCAATTTGCCCAATGTACATAACATAAAAACCTAAATGACCTGTGAATGGAGACAGCAAGCAATCAATGTTATGAAAGCATTAACTGCTCTATAAAAATCAGGGTGTTCTGAAACCAAACAGTAATGTTTAGTTATAATTCTACATTTTGGTTATTATAACTATTACTTGAATTTCTGTGTTACTAGTCCCTAAAGTATCTTGAAAGTTCTTCCTTCCTTTTTTCTCCCTCCCTCTTCTGTATCTGTGTTCAAGCTAGCATCACCCACACATTGTCGACATGATTTTTCACCACAATAGCATCATGCTCACAATCGTATCATTAATAAAATACAACTTAAGAGCTTCACCTCTTCCAGAAAAGTATGGAAAGTATTCAGTTAGAGACTCTTGATCTCACCTCCAGATTTATATCACAGAAAAGAACATACTTGCATAAAGCCACCCAGATTCTGGTACTCCCAGAATCCAGAATTTAGCCACCACTAAAGAAATGTCAGCACAAAGGCAGAGACCATACACTGCTCTCCAAAATTCCAGGTTCTCCAAGTTTTCCTGGTAGACCTCTTTAAATAGCAAACCAGGTCTTGGAAAACGTGTGTATCTGATAGGAGTCACTGGCATACTGGGTGAATCTCAGAAGGCAAACACAGAAATATAAAACACAATTCCTGTGCATCAGGTGGTGTGGAAGGTCTTTTGAAACTGATTTAATGTCTTCCAAATCACTCTACTGTTCTTAAAACAAAACAGAATTAGCAATTCCTCTGAGCTCAGGTCACCACAGCAAACAGAAGTCAAGCTGAAGTGCAGTTGTCATCTGCACGAGCAGCCTGGGCATAAATATCTGCACAATCTTTTCAACACAATTGATATTCTTTTTCTCTGGTTTTCTCTCAATAGCTGTAACTAGAAGTTTACACGTCAATTTGTGGTCAGCTACAGATCAGCGTGCTTCAGTGTTTTCCAAATGCTCTGAAACTTGGTGATGACCAAGAAAACCATTTGACTCGGGGTCACTGTGCATTAGGATAAGTGCTCATGTCCCCTGACAATGAGGCCTGGGAAGAAAGCCAGACTCTTATCTGTTCTCACTTTCATCCCTCGCATCCAAGAGGGAACAGGGGAACTTGCTTGCCTTCAGTTTAGGTAAAACTCCCATATTGAGTGGTGAGGTCCCTCTAACACAATCTTCCTAATTTTCTTTTAATAAAAACTTCTTCTGCGTGATTTTCTGTCAGGTGCAGCAATGACAGACACAGAGCACAGCTGAAAACATCATAAACTGCAAAATGGATCAGGAACAAAACAGGAAGAACACAGTGAAGCTTATAGCTGTTTACAGCCGTTTATAGCTGGGGCTGAAGCATCGGTAGGGACCAAAGTAAGTGCAGTGACTGACAGAGGGCTTTTCTACCTTGTCCATGACCCTCAGAAACAGCAGCCCTGGCCAGGCTCTGAATGAGAACAGCAGGAGGAAACGGGAAGCAGAGACAGAACTGGACCCAGCCACCTGCAATCACAATGACTAACCCTCCCATTCATGGAGGGCAGGATCACTCAGCCTTCAGTGTCACACCGGGCTGTACCTAGCTGCGGGAGACCAGGTGGAGGCAACCCCCAAACTGATACAGAAAGTGAGTGAACAGAGGGAGGAAAAGCAAAGATCTCCCACCTAAGAAAAGTCTACCTATTAAAATTCCAAAGCACATGAAGAAAACTGACATTAAGACAGACAGCCATCATACTGAAGAAATCAGGAGCTAATTCATTACCAACAAAATCTAAGTCACAAAAATTTCAACAAAGCTTTCGAATGAGTGTGTTGTCAGTCCTCAAGAGAGAAGCAATTATCTACAAAAACGATGTGTTTTTAAAGCGTAGACATGAAGGAAGGATAGGGAGACATGCAAAAGAACCAACACAAATCTGAAAGTAAAAAATTACAATCACTTAAACAAAAGTCTAATTGATGAAGGTCAACTATTCTGCACATAGTCTAAGAAAAACTAATGATTATGGATCCAGACAAGAGCATAGAGAAATGAGAAAGGCAGATAATAAAAGGTGAATTAAACAGAAGGATGAACTAGACGACCCAAAGGTATCTACTAGGAGTTCTAACAGAGAAAAGAGGAAAAATTCAGTGTGGCTTGAAATTTTTCCAGAACTGAAGGAATATATGTAGTCTCTGAATGGATTGAAAAACTGAGACACCAGACACAAAAGCAATTAGAGGAATTGTAATGTACACTAAGAAACTTAATGGTAACAGAAAAACAGTGTTTGGAAACTAAATTTCTCAACAAAAAATGGTGCACCGTAATTTATATGATATGGTTCTTTTGTATATATCAAGTATAAAGTGAAATTTTACAAATGAAAAAAATAAACACAGAACCATGGCTCTAGATAACTGTGACAAGAAAGATGGGAGAAGTCTGTCAGTGCATAATTAAAGCATGCTGATAGTTGGACACGGTGGTACATGCCTGTAATCCCAACTGAAGCAGGAAAATCAAAACTCTGAGGCCAGGCTGAGCTACATAGTTAAATCTTGTCTCCAAAAACATAGTTGAGGTACTTTTCTACCAGGAGTGTTAGAAGGATATATGAATACCCTCAAATTTTCTAAGAGAATATATACCTAAAGGGTATGACTAAGAATTTGGGAGCAATTGCCAAAGGAAAGAAATATAACCTAAAGTTTCTAAATCCGTAGAGGAAAAGGTAAAAGGGAGAAATAACCTTTATCAGAGGAACAGAAAGCAAAATGGAAGAAAGAAAAGCTACAGGAAGGCAAAAAAGGAAAGGGAGGGAGGGAGGGAGGGAGGGAGGGAAGGAAGGAAGGAAGGAAGGAAGGAAGGAAGAAAGGAAGGAAGGAAGGAAGGAAGGAAGGAAGGAGCCAGCTGTGGAGGCACACAGCTGTAATCCCAGCACTCAGGAGTCAGAGGCAGAAGTATCACAACATGTTTGAGGCCAGTCTGGGATATACAGCAAAACCCTGACTTAAAAACAAATAAACAAGAATAAGAATGAGTCTAAATACATTATTTCCCAAATGCAAAGTAATTAAACTTGCAAATTAAAATAGACTAGATCTTGTCTCCTAAATCAGATTAGGTTTTTTAAATCCAGCCCTCTGCTGCCAACAAGATACATAACAGAAACAAAAAGACTAGGAAATCTGAAATCAAGAGACATTGAAAAACTAACACCCAGTGAATACTGAAGAAAGGGTTGCTGGCATGGCAACAGAAACCTCAGCAAATAAGATGTAAGGGAAATAATGCAACTCCAGAAGGAACATCAGGCAGACCTCTGACCTGGTGGTCATCAGTCATGTGACTATTCTAGACTCCGCGCTGTCAACGTGGGGTTTCAGAGACACCCCTCAGGTCTGTAAGCTGCGTGGTGACAGGACACGGTCCTGACATTCACCTGACAGGGTGCGTCATCACAGCTCCACATGTCACACAGCCAGCATGTAGCACACACCAAGAGCCTGATGATCCTGAATGAATTACATCCGTGAATGGCAGATAGTGGAGGATGCCTCTGCAGGCACAACTCAGAGCTAGGACATGGGGCAGATTCTGGTTAAGAAGTCCATGTGCTGGGTGTAGAGGTGCACGCCTCTAATTCCAATTATTCAGGAGGCGGAGGTAGGTGGTAGAATGCTTTAGTGAGTGCAAGGCCCTTTGTTCAAATCACAGTGAGGGGGTGAGGAGAAGCACCTGTCACTTCCTCAAGCTCTGAATAGCAGACAACACCCCTCCACATCCTCAGTCTGCCCCCATGTTCCCAATACTCTCTATTTTGTTGGTGTAGCTAGGCAGAATGAGACTGAAAATGAACTAAGGTTGAGCATCTTGGAGCATAGCACAGCAGCTGTGCCCCTAAGTCCATTTCCAGGGTGAGAAAAAGGGCAGCAAAAGACAAAGAGAGGCACCAGCACCACAGGCATTGAGACAGCCCTGCAGTCTCCCACACCTCCCTGACCTTGTATCATTCTTCCTGATTTTGTGTAAAGAGAGTATCTAATAATAACTTCATTCTCCATAGGCGGAAAAAGTCAGAGTTGTCTGTTATTTTCAGAAAGAATTTTATATTGAGTTCTGAAACTCAGAAAATAATATAGATGCATTCAGCTGTGCCGATAACTACTGCAGTGACAGGCAGCTTCAAATTTGTTTTGATGGGCACTGGCTTTTCTGAAATTACTAAATTAAGATCAATAATTGCAATTCCATTCTTCTCAGGCAGAACCTTCTTTGCTATGTTGCTTTTCACTCTAAACCAGAGGTACAAAGCAGGGACATGAAAAGGCATGATCTTTGGTCCACTCTACCCATGCCCTGCTAAGCTTCTGGAGAAGAGTGGCTCACACGGGAGATAAATGACCACCAAAGGTGCAAACTCACAAGCAGAAGGTGGGCTCACCATTTTCTTTCACAAATACCTTTGTGTTTAGCAAGGGAGACTTTTTAAGAAAGACTCAGAAAATGTGTGTGTGCGTGCGTGCGTGCATGTGTGTGTGAAAGAGAGAGAGAGAGTGGGACAGAGACAAACGGATTCATTAAGAGGAGTTACATAAATAACAAGCAAATAAAAATTCCTGTCTGCATACTGAAATCCATTTCCTGTCATAATTGAGCTCTGATATTTAGTTATCTGGAGTCCAGAAAGGCGGGGCAGCTCCCTCAGCTTTGGCCTTTATTTATGCCCCACAAGAGGGTTAGAAGTGCAAATGAACACACAACAGTTGCTCCCAAATGCAGGTTTGTCAGGGGAAAACAGACATGAACAGAAAGGAAGCTCTCGCTTACATATTCAGGTTTTTTAATTCATGAGATATGGGAAGCAAGCTGGATATCTTTCTCCTTTGTATTGTATGTAACACATATATGTTAAAGTTTCACCATGTGTCCTGGCTCACAGCTGTAATCCCAGCCACGTTGTGGGGAGGGTGAATTGGAGATAAGGAGGATTGCTGTCCTAGGCCAGCCTGGGCAAAAAGTTAGCAAGACTCCAGCTCAAAAATCAAGCCAGGTGTGATGATGCACACCTGTGATCCCAGTTACACAGGAGGTTTAGATAGCAGCATCATAGTTAAGGCCAGCCCCAGGCAAAAAGTGTGAGACCCTGCATGAGAAATAACCTAAAGCAAAGTGGGCTGGAAGCATGGCTCAGGGGTGTACACAGCAAGCATGAAGCTCTGAGTTCAAAAGCCCAATACTGCCAAAACAACGACAAAAATAAAAACCATACCCAAAACTTTCTACAACTTTTAGTTAAGGCATACTGATAATGTGATCCCCATGAAGTCACCATTCAGAGTGGGGACTAGATCACTGCAGGAGCACTTCACCCTTCCTCTCCTCCCTGCCATTTTGATTTTTGAGACAATGACTTCCTTACATTTCTTTATAGTTCTTCCAAATGCTAAAACACCCACAAAGAAATAGTTTATTTTTGCTTGTTTTGGAACTTATAAATCATGTTTCAGTGAATGTCTTTTTGTCTTATTTTTGCTCAGTCTAGTTTGTTACATTGATCCATGTCATTACACACAGACTTGTACAGTAACATTTTCATGGGTATACTTATTCCAGTGTATGAACATATCACAATTTTATCATCTCTTCAACTGCCTGTGGACATCTGAATGTTTTCAGTTTGAGGGAATTTAAAACAAAACTGGACATTCTGGCACTTGTGCCCTGATGCAAAAATGTAGACTAGCATCTTACAGACAGATATTCAAGAACATCCAGGTAAGCAGTGAAACTGATGAACCAGAGTGTCTGCTCCTCTAACTTTCTGGTTACTCCAGACTATTTTGCAAGGTGGTTATGCTTGTGGATGGGTAGTCTCCGAAGACCCTGATCAGAACATTCTCAGGCTCTCGAGTCCAAACCAAAGCATCAAACAGTGATACTGTGATTGCAAAGCACAGCAAAGTTTTATTAAAAGTAGAGAGAAAACATAGATAGGAGTGTTAAAGAAAAAACTGCAAGAGAAAAGCAGTGGGCTCTGGCCAGATGGCTCAGAAGCCAAAACTCCCATCTTCCTTAGAGGGGTACAAGAGGCAGGGAGACAGGAATCTGGGCATCCTTTCATGATAGGCTAGGATGAGTATACAAAGTAACATTGGGTCCACCATACCCCCAGGATACGATTTTCCCTTCTGTGTTTCTTGTATCTATTGTTTCAGGATGCTGATGTCCACCTAACTCAAAACACCTTGTGACCTCCCATGACCTTGATGGGTTATTTTCATCCTAATGAGGCTATTAAGTATTTTTCTCTCAGAGACCATAAAGAATCCTTCATTTTTGGTTCTCTTTGCACATCACCATTGCTTCACTGGGCTGCTAGCTTGCCTCAACTCTATCAGCTATCTCTCACGACCTGTGCTTGAGCACACGTTCGTGAACGCCTACGAAACCGGCAAACAGCTTCTTGTTCTTCAAATGAAAAGCTATGTAGCAGATCATGAAGAGGGGATGCACTGGGAAGCACATGAACTTCAAGCACCTGTGATTAAACCTCCTCTGCTTATGTGGCATCTTTCTCAGGCCTACCTAAGTGGTTAGATATGATATATTTATAATACTCCACACAAGTGGGGATACAGTATGTAAATGTATTTGTAATACTCAACACGTAGGGATGCAGTACATTCTAGCTATCCCTGCCATTCTCACTTACTTCCAAAACCAACTGAAAAATCAAGGGCCCAGATTCTCCAAATGAGTTACAAGGACAGAAAGCTGCACCTTGCAGGGTTTTGTCTCATATTACACATTTGTTTACTTTGTGGTACCAGAGTCATGAAGTGTATCATGAATAAAAACAACAAGAAAAACATAAACCTTCCTTTAGGAGATTTATCACTGTACATCCAGACAGAGGCCCATGCAGCAATGGTACTATGAATCTCCTACAAAGAATTTAAAGAGAAGACCAGAGAGTAACTAAAAACAAGTAATGAGCAAGGCAAGTATTCTATGAGATTTCAATTCACCATTTTCATTCACCCATCATGATCAAGAGAAATCGGGCCCACCTCATTGGGAAGTAGATGTGCTGACACCCAGAATGTTCTGAGTATCCCTAAGGTCAGTCACACACTTGAAGTTCACCACAAGAGTTGACAATTGATTCCTTATGCTTATAAGCTATTCTGAAAGTTACCAACCTCCTTTCATTCTGAGTTATCGAGCCATTTTCCAGCTTTTTAACTGTGGTCGCTAGCACTTTGTTTGCATCGTTGGCGAAGTCTAAGTCTCGGACCTCAGACAGTGGGACAGACACAATGGCAAATGCTTCCTTGTCTTCTTTAGTTTGGCAGGTTCCAATCTGCAATGTTTTTTCCATTAAGGTCAGTTCTGCGAAATAATACTCTCTGAGGACTAACACATCTCAGCACTGCTTAAGAAATTCAAAAGCAAAAACTGATGATCCAAACACAGCAATCCCCACAGGCATCACCCTTACAAAACACTGTAGGGACACAGTGACCTTTCCTGCCCACTTCGTGCTCTGTCCCCAAAGTGCCACTGAAAACATGCTCCTTTCACACTTGCCCTTTGCTTCAGTTTCAACAGAGAAGAGCAGATGTGCTCCTGGGACCTTCTTGCTCCACCTGCTCCACTCATTCTCATGGAATCCCTATTGCATTCTCCTGACCCTCAGGCAGGCTGCAGCAAACCCATACAGTTCAGCTTCCTAAGGAACTGCAAGACACTCACGCTTATGAATTTAATTGTAATAATCTCCAATACTGGTGAAGACGGGTTATAAGGAATATGTCAGTCATCCCCTAATCCTATGAACATAGCATTTGGCAAAAAATTAAACAATTTCAGCAATATTTACCTTTAACATAACAGGCCTCTCTTCATCTGTGTCTATAGGAATGCTAGTGCTGGTTACCCACGTGTTGGTGCATAAATGCCTTAACCGAACATAGGAGTTCCTAAAAGCAAAACAATATAAAAATTTAGTATACTTAACATATTGACATATTTAAGTTTCATAAATGATCTGAACATAAATATATCTTAGACTAATAGCTGACATAAGATCCATCTGATTTAAGAAAAAATTTTGAATTTGCACCACTTCAAAGCATACAGCACTATTAAGTAGGCCTATGGTTCTCCGAGTATGGTCCCTGGACCAGCAGCATCAGAAGCCCTACAGAACTGTTAGAAATGCAAATTCTAAGACTTCATTCCAACCCAGTAAATTAGACACTCTGGGGTGGGTCCCAACAGTGAAGAGTTATAACAGGTGCCCCCAAAAATCTGAGTAAAATCTGTAACACCCAAACCATGGAGCTTTGTGGTCATCTGGGACACACACAGAGTGGCAAAGATCTGAGTGGCCCAAGAAGCACCTTTCCAAGCTGAGGTAAAACAAGGTGACATTCGGCTTTCTGTTTCATGTCTCATACTGGGAACAAGGATCATTTTGTGATCTACTTAATACCATGTTCTCCACATTTCAATGCTTTTCTTGGTGATCTTGATGTTTAAAATGACCCTATTTCGGAAGGGCTGCCTAAGAGTTCCTGAGCACAAGAAAGCTATGACATGACTTAAGAAGAAAATACTTGTTCTAGGCAGGCTTCATCCATACCACACAAGTTCAGTGCAACAAGTCAACAATATGTAGTGAATAAGGTGTCTTTAAACAGAAATACACACAAAACAAGGTCATGCACTGACTCATAAACATGTGACCAGAGCTCACAGGAATCTAACCCTGTGTTTTCCTTGAGAGTAATAGTTTCGTATTCACTAAGCAAAAATCAACTGTTAAGCATATGAGAGTGTGTCTGAAAACAAGACACAGAACTTTATCCAACTCAAATATTACCATTCCTACTGACTCTCTTACTACCATTATCTCTTTAACAAATATGTGTATAATACCTATTGAAAGTTTCTGTCTTTGAGATACATGGAGCTCAGCAGAAAGGTAAGACATAAATTTGTCATGCAACCTAAGGTGTAAAACGTTAGGGCCAATAAGAGAAATCAAATAAAATGCCAAAGGCCTCAGGGGGATGTTCACTCAACAATATGGTTTTTCTCATTCCTGTAAATAGATAAAGTAAGTAAAGCCTGTGTCCCAGCCCAAGACTGCTTCATTAGTCTCAGTGTGGCTAAGTAAGACTAAGACAAGGAGAGATGTCAATGCTGCCAGGTGGTTCTGAATTACAGCCAACTCAAGGCTGTTCCAACTCAGCCTCTGGTCTCTGACCTATATGATTAAATAATATTAAGATTATTTAAAGAACGTGACACAGGATTTAGCACACAGAAAGCACTCAACAGTTTTATTATGATAGTAGCTATAATCACATGGTGATTAATGTTAGCTATAATACATGATGAGTGAATGCATGCTAATACAAAACTCTGTACTACAGTGAGAAGAAATTCAACGGTTCTGATTTTATTGGATTAACATCTCCACACAAAGCGAGGCTCAGGGGCTTTGTCATAGGTCTATGAACTTTACAGCGATATCCTTTTATTATTTTCTTAAGCACCTCTCTTGGTTAGTATATAAGAAAGACTCCATTTTGGCTGACTTAAATCTAAAATGAGTAAAGTCATAGCAATGTCTAAGGCCCCCCCATACTGGGAGGAGGCCAGAGACCACACTGAGGAACAGAGAAGAGTGGACTCACATGAGGTCCAGGTTCAGCAACACTCCTCATGAATGAGAATGGTGTGGAACATGCTAGGAGCTCCACCAGGAATTTTTCACCCTCCCTAAAAGGTGCCCACACCACAGTGTCTGCATTTTACCCACAGCCAACCACTGCCATCTGTCCAAGACCACATGCAACAGTATCCCATGGAGGTCAATTTAAAACCATCCCAAAGGCCCCAAAATATGGGCAAGACTCTGTGTCTAGAGAGAACAAACGATCTTCACTTCAACAGTCAAATTCATGCAGGATTCTTTTACAATAAATCCTACCCACATTGTTCCAATTCCACCACACTCAGGTCCAATGACACTGGCCTCATTATTGGTCCTTAGGAACACTGTTTCCTGTTCCTGCTCAGACTGCTCCTCCCAAATAGATAGCACTTGGTCCTTGAATCGTTCCAATCTTTTCTCAGATGTCCTGACTCAGAACGGCCATTTCTACACATACGACCTGACAGAATTCTGGGCCCTCCCGTGACTCTTCAACACATTTCACTACTGACTGCGTCTTATGTTCACTGGTTTGCTTACAGCCTGATCCCACCATATAACCAGCCCATTCATTGTTGTCTTCTCAGTGTCCAGGGCAATATCTGGCATATATAGTCAATGTGCAATAAACACTCGTTGACTGAATTACTAGATAAATGAATGAGTGAATAAAGGAATATGGAAATAGGGAATCTGACACAATAAGTGTAAATAAAAAAAAGTATTACTGAAGTTGATTACCTTCCATTTTAGTAACGAAAGGCCACAAGTAATGAGAATAAATGATCCTTATGAATTTTTAAGAGCTTCTGAAAAATTCCTGCACATTTAATTATTTATAAAAATAAAACAAACTGTGTTAATCTACACACAAAAGAGGCACAAAGTCTTGTGCATTTTTTCCTCACTTGTGCTCTCTGATACTGTAAAATTTATGTTCACGTTGTTTTTATTCCTTACCCACTGGAAAAATTATCCAAAGAAAGATTTTTTTACTACAATTCCAGTTTGTTTTGGTTTTTTACCTTGGTACCAGGCAGTCAGCTCTCTGAAGAGTGGTGGCATCCAGCTCAAAAAGGGTGGCAATGTCGTTTCCATGTGGGACAGAGACCAGAGTGAACATGATCTTCTCCCCAGCCTGCCTTCGCTTCCTTGATGTTGGAAGGTCTCCATCTCTCTGTTGAGGAGGTACAAGGTTATTTATTTTCTTCAGGTTCCTTACTAAATTCTCCAGTGTTATTCCTTCCTTGGACATCACTCAGAAAAAGGAGGTCAGGCCTGGAAATTATTATCAATAGTGGAAAGTCACATACTCCTGGGGAGGGGTAGCTTGATTGGGCACATCATTAAGGTAGTAGCACTCACAGAGTTATGGTCCCTTCCCTTGTGCCTTTATACCTATTCACAAAGTAGTCAGTTTGACCTTCCACATCTAATCCTAAACCAAACACAGAGAAGAAACAGAGCTGAGTCATGTAAATTCATAAAAACATACAAATGGCCACTAAATATACAAAAAATCTTTATCATCATTAAATGTCAGGGGAACACAAGTCACAAGCACAGTGACATACACCTCACAAGTGCCAGAACGGCTACTGTAAAAAGACAGGGTAATAAGTGAAGGAAAGGGCATCCTTGCACACTGTGGCTGGTAGTATAGACTGGTGCAGCCACCGTGGAAAATAGTATGGAGGCTCCTCAAAAAATTAAAAACCAAACTCCTGCATGACCCAGTAGTTCCTCCTACGGACACACACGCAAAGGAAATGAAACCACTGCCTCCAAAGGAGTTCTGTGCCTCGTGTTCACTGTGGTGGTAATCCCAACATCACATTGACACAGCCCATATGTCCATGGTGAATGGCCAGTAAAGAAATCTGTGGTACATACATAAGTACACAGAGGGTCCCCAACTTACAGTGGCTTCACTTACAAGTTTTCAACATTACGGTGGTGTGATACTGTACCTGGATTTTGAATTTCATTCTTTTCCCTGGCTGGCAATTTGCATGTTCTCACGATGCTGGGCACTTACAGGAGCCCCAGCTCCGGGTCGGCCACAAGATCATGAAATGTCAACAACAGATACCTACAGTGACCTGTGTGGTTCATTCATGGGACTGGGCACATCAGGAGTATTAAATGCATTTTTTTAACCTAAGATATTTTCAATGTACAGTGAGTTTTCCAGGATGTAGGTCCGCCAAAAGTCAAGAACATCTACACAACAAAATACTATTCAGCCTTTAAAAAGAGGGAGACACTACATTTGTGACAACAGAAATAAACCAAGGGGACATTAAGCCAAAATACTGTATGATCTCAGTTATATGTGAAGTCTAAAAAGGAAAAGAAAAGAAAAAAACTCAATATACAGAAACAGACACAACCAAGAACAGAATGGTAGCCCGGCACCATGGCTCACACCTATAATCCTACTTACTCAGGAGGCAGAGCTCAGGAGAATGGGGGTTCAAAGTCAGCCTGGGCAAAATACCCAAGAAAAAAAGAGCTAGCAGAGGTGCTCAAGTGGTAGAGTGCCTGCCTCACAAGCATGAGGCCCTGAATTCAAACCCCAGTACTGCCAAGAAAAAAAGAAAAAAGGTGATTACCAGGGGAGGGGTGGGGGAATAGGAAGTCAAGGGGTATAAAGTTTACAAAATTTCAGTTCTGTGGGATGAGTAAATCCTGAAGCAAAGGCATGGTATGAAGACTACACTTAATTATATTGTATTGTATGGTGGAAATGTATGGTAAACTGCAGGTCATTTACCACAAAAGGTAACTGTGTGAGACAATGGATGTGTTGATTTGCTTGACAATAATATGCATTTCACTATGTACATGTACACCAAAACATCATGTAATATACCATAAATATGTATGACATTTAAAAAGAGAGAAAAAGAAAGGGGGAAGAAAGAAGAAAGGAGCTTTGAGGGAGAGAGGAAAGGAAAGGGAAAAGGAAGAAAGGATGGAAGAAGAGAATAAAGGAAGACAGGAAGGAAGGCAGGTGGAGGAAAGAAAATAGTCAAAAGTGTTGCTTCGTGAATCTATACCATGAAGCTTAATAAGGAAGTCCCAATGTTCTTTATACTAAAATATGGGTGACATAGCAGCAGCTCTTCCTGGAGGCTCTGAAAGCTAATGATGACACAGAAGCGACACCGCTCCTGACTGTAAAAGCAAGAAGGCCTGAACAAGGTCCATGCCATCTTCTTTGAAAAGACCCCAAGGAAGACCATATGTAACTAAAATTCCTTTTCAACATGGAAAAACTGCGTGTTGAAACATCTGATGTTGAAGATCATAATATCTGGGATGAAGAAGAAGGCGGAGAAAGAGCAGAAAACTGGAGGAAAAAGTGGCAACTAAAAAAAAGAAAGAAAAGGGAGATTTGTTTTTAATTATATTGAGACAATAACAGGAAAACTTGGGGAGAAACACACAAGGATAATGACAGTTACAAAGAAGTACTACAAAAGAACTCTTTTTTGGATTTTGCAATGCTGTTGCTGTCAAAACACAGAATCACTAATACGATGAGTATTGTTAAAACACGTGAGAGGAGATTACCTTCAGAATGCACGAACACGAATTATGGATGACATCAGTCAGTTACAGAACTAACTCACAGGATTTTATGTAGGCAATGGGATTTTGACACGTATTAGTCCATTTTCTGTGCTGTAACAGAGCACTAGAGACTGGGTTTATTTTGCTCATGATTCTAGAGGCTAGAAGTCCAAGAACCTGGCACTGGTACCAGCCCTGAATCAAAACATGGTGGAGGGCATTGCTCTGAGAGGCAAGGCAAGTGGGCCAGAGAAAGCTTCCTTTCATCACAAGCCACTCCTGCAATGATCCAGGAATCCCTTATGAGGACAGGGTCCTCCAGCCTATCACTGCCCACAGGTCCCACCTGTCAACACTGCTGCTTGTGGACCAAGTTCCCAACACATGAAATTGAGGGACACATTCAAACCATAGCAGGGAAAAGTAGCTTAAGTCGAATATTGGAAAGGCACAATTAACATATGACCCTACCTAAGGGAAATAAAATCTTATCCATTACACTGAGCCATGTTTGAAGGAAGGCTTTGCTAACAGAAGATCAGTGTGTAACCTAAATAAATGGAGTCGATGAGCAAGGACTTTACCGTTTTTCTCACTATGGTCTGGTGTAGTGTAATAAATAAATATGCCTGTCTTCCTGGAAGAACGCCATATCCCTAAAAGGAATACGTCATCTTATTTCCTGACTGAGCTTCCTACACATCCACCTTCTCACTATAATTTAGTTTTTGATGTAGACATTCCTTCAAGGAAAATGCACTAAATGGCCCAGCTATTTAGATCTATTTAGCAATTGAAACATGACATATGGTTTATATATCAGTCATCTGTGAGTTCATTTAGCAGGGGTCAGTTCTCCATTCACTCCTTTTTTAGAATGGTGATGAAATAAATTTTCTAGACTTAAGAGATCAGAACTCGGCCCCCCGATGGCCCTCCTCCCTACTCTCCTTGGTAATATTTCCCTGTGGGGCCCAACCAGAGTAGTCTCTTTGGACACTCTCACCCTGCGACAATCTTTTCCCAACACACAAAAAACTTGCTAATTAGGGTTAATTAGAAAGGCCACTCTGAATTACTCACAGTGTTTAAGACCTGCAGTTTTATTTTAATTACATAGAACAAGTGGAATGCACAATTCTACCCTTAAATAGTTTCCACAGTCCCTAGAAAATAGCTTTAACAAATAGAAAAGTTCCATTTATAAATAGCATAACAACTCTGTGTGTGTGTGTGTGTGTGTGTGTGTGTGAATAAAAGCTTTCTAACATGTTTAGCTGTTTTTTACAATAGTGCTGTTGTCTTAAGCATTCTGTTTTTAATCACTCATACTCTGGTAATTTGCTTAAGAAAGGTACACAGCAGTGAGGCCCCAAGACACCTGTGTTGACTCCTCTGTGAATCACAGAATTCTCAGCAGAATGTCATATCACAATTCTGTTTTTGGGAGCCAGACGTTCTGTAAGAGGCGGTGTCTGTGCTCTCTGAGCTGGGCAGCGCAGGGCTGCTGTGTTTGCACTCACACCCGCCCCTACAGGTAGCCCTTATGTAACAACATCAGCTGCCTTTTAAAGCTGCTTCCTTAACAAATCTTCCTCCCAAAGTGCTACTTAACAGAACCCTTTCTTCTTTCTTTTCTTTAGTACCTTTCCACTGATGAAGACAGAGCAAAACCCAAGGAAATTGGGGGATCTTGTCACAGAACCCACTACTCAAAGAAATCTGAGGTTCTTTCAGAATCTGGCACCCCCATCCCCAAATTCCGCAGAACAGGATCTGCAAGTACATTTTCAGCACTTTCCTGGTTCCTAAGACATTTCTGGTTATGTATATAAATATACGTAGACCAGTGGCTCTTCAAAGAGGCAGGATTTGCCTCTCAGGGGACACTTGGCAATTTGTGGACACATCTTTAGCTGCCACACTGAAGCCTTAGGGCAATTAGTGCTGGCACTGGTGACAGGAGGCCACAGGTGTTCTAAACACCCCACTATGCAAAGCACAGCTTATGGGACCACAACAAAGAATCACCCAGCCCATGTGCCAGTGTGCAGAGGTGCGAAACCCCAGCATAAACAAAGATTCATCCTCAAAAAATCAGATCACAACTCACACAAAGTGAAATGTTAACATGGACAGTGTCATGGAGTATTCCAGAAAACTCCCCTTCACACAGACATTCGAAAAGACACAAATAATTACTGTCGATTCCCAGCTGTGCTTGACACGGTTCCAATGTTTACCAGGTCCTGGAGGATGTTGCACATTTGTAAGATTGGAAATAGTAGACTCCTTTGTAAAATAAATACAGCAATTTAGGTCTTAATGAGAGCTCTGACACACACAACCACATCTCTGTGCACCGTGCATTAACCTCTGAAGCTTCAGAAATGGAAGGCGACATTTTCATAAAGGTATCTAAATTACAGGAAAAATATTAACTGCGCATTAAATAGACAGGGGAAAATTAGGACAGAAAAAAATTGGTGTAGGCAGTGAATTCACTGTTCCTGGAACTCAGACCTCAGGTGGATGGCACTGTGGTTTGGGAAATAGATTTCTCAGTCCTCGGGATACTGATAAACTCTGACAGCTCCTTTGTTTTCTTCTTCAGACAGAAACATAATTATTGCTCTGAGGCAAATGGCCTATAAAATGAGAAGCCATATTGTTACGTTACCGTGCCACATTCACAGCTTTGTTTACTCTCAAGTTAGAGATTGTGAAGAGGGG